AAAAAAAAAAAAAAAAAAAAGTTGAAAAGTCAAATGGACAGGAAGTATGCTTCATATATATATTCACACCCTGGCTCTTGGCATGCTCACATATTCACACAGCTCTCTTAGAATTTAACAGCTGGGCCTGGGCAACATAGTGAAACCCCATCTCCACAAAATATTTTAAAAATTAGCCAAGTATGTTGGTGTGTGCCTGTGGTCCTAGCCACTCGGAAGGCTGAGGCAAGAGGATTCCTTGAGCCCAGGAGTTCAAAGTTACAGTGAGCTATGATCACACCACCACACTCCAGCCTAGGCAACGAAACAAGATCTTATCTTATTTAAAAAAATAAATAAATCCTATCTTATTTAAAAAAAAAATGAAAGAATGTAAGAGCTAGGAGTAAGCTCAGACCTTAACTAGTTCAATCCACTTTCTTTAATAAGAATATCTCCTCTTTCTTTAATAAGAATATCTCCTCTTTCTTTAATGAGAATCCCTCCTCTAGGGTATCAGAAGTCATTTGCCTTTACCTATCACTAATTCTTCTCTAAAGTACCTTTTCTTAGATTGTTATGAAGCAATAGCTACCTGACCCTATTCTTCTATATTCTTCTATATTACTAGGTAGAATAAACATTTATGAAGAGATGCTAAAACATGCAAGGAAGTTCCTTTCTAAAACAGTGACCTGCAAAGGATAACAGGGATGTAGGGTCACAGGAGCAGAGGGCATCCCAGCTGCATGTGTAGACTACGTAGAAGCCAGCCAGGCGAAGGAACACCGTAAGGATGCTCTAGCCAAGAAGCAGCCTTTATAAAAGCACAGTATTTGCAGCAGGTGGTGGAGGGGTGATGAAGATAGTACGAGGCGAGATGTGTCACCAGCAAGCTCGTGATGGCCCAGGAGACACTGTGATGTGTATCACAGTGTCTATCCACCACTTCAACAGACTAGAATGGCTTGTCCAACTCCAGGATTGCCGCGTGCACTGGAGCCCAGGTTCCAGAGTGGGGAAGCGCCAGAGACAAGGCTGAGGCCACCGCCCTGGCCCAGGTTCTGAAGGTCCATGCCACCCCTGCAGGGGAGCCAGGGCAGCAGGAGCCACTGGAGGCTGAGTCTAGGGAGCAATGTGATCAGAATGGTCACTTTAAAAGACCTTCTGGAAGCAAAATAGGAAATGGGCCTGAGAAGAACAAGATTAGAGATGGACAAGAATGATGATGCCCTGAACTATGCTAGTGGCATAAAGATAGAAAAGATACTGGTTTGGTGGTTTTGCCAAGCTCTGGTTGGATGAGGGGCCAGTCATAAAAGAAGACTCCCTTGATGTCCTCAACATCCCAGGTATGGGCTGAGCGATGAGATGGAGAAGCCAGTTACCAAGATTGGGAATTCAGGAGAAAGCAGAACAATGGGACCCAATAAGGCAGTCACTGGGGAGCACACATCTAGGGTAAGGTGCAGGATTTATGTTGCCAAACACGGGGCATGAACATTTAACAAAATGAGGTCTCCCCAATCACCTGTGGGAACTCCTCCTGCTGGTCCAAGAGAAGAGCCGCAGCAGGATCTGCCTCAGTTTACTGCTAGCGCCGGGATCTTTATTTCTATGGTTTCTAGTCTTTCCCAGGACAAACTGAAAGGGAGTTCACTAACTTGCCTTCAGATCAAACAGGTTTCTGGAGAAACCAAATCAGGCTTGCTGTTAAAAAACAAAATAAAACCCATCTGTTGTGGGAGGCAAAGCTTTAGTAATGATACCAATCCTCCCCAGAGGGATTACAGTGTAAAAGAAAGGAAATTCCAAAATTAATTTTTAATGTTTCTTTTTTTCATCTAACATCAAACACAGACAATTTGCCTTCTTGACAAAGCAGTTGCTTTAGGGAGCGTGAATGGAGGCGGCTGTTGCTTTGTAGGTTTTTATGAGAATCGGGTTTATTCAATCATGAGACTTTGAGAATACTGTCCTTGTGAAGTTAAAGTTAGAGGGTTCTTTTTTATTATTATGTTTGAATACTTAATACATTTATATGGCTCAAACATCTAAACTATGCAAAAGGATATACACCAGGAAATCCACTCCCACTCACATCCCAGCAGCTCTGTTATACCTCTCCCCTGCAGGCATATTGCTTTCATGTTTCTTTATACAAACATAAGCAAAAGTCTGTATACTGCTCTGCACCTTGCTGTCATGTAAGAATAAATATGGTAGTGCATTCTTTACAGTTGCACAATACTCCCTCACATGGAGATACCATTGCTTATTTAATCTGTCCCATGTTGCTGCCCACTTGGGTTATTCCTAAATTTTTGTTATCTTAAAGATTCCCTCTCTAAGTACCCCTGTACACATGTCTTCGTCATACATGGACAATGTACCTGAAGGGTAGAAAAGAGAATGCTAGATCAATGCATAAATGCATCTGTAATTTTAGGGGCTGTAGACTCACCAAATGTATAACAGTATTAGTTTTAGCAACAGTGTGTCACCAAACTTTTGGATTTTTGCCAGTCTGATAGGTAAGACATGGAATCTCAGTATAGTTTTAGGTTATATCATGTTAACACAATTAAAATCAAGCACCATTCATTTTGTTTAAAGGCTTTTGTATTTCTTTCTTTAACACATTGACTGCCAAGTGAGTTGTATTTAACTCAAGCTAGTTTTGAGCCCAGGGCCTCGTGAAGCAAAACCTTGCAGTTCATTTGTGAAAATTTTACTTGTCGATGTTCTTATTGTAATAATTAATATTGACAATTGAATTCTAAAAACGTGGATTGTGTTGCAAATAACTCATGCACAGAAAACAATAAAAAATAACAAATTAGAAAGGATCATTTCGTTTTAATAAAACACTGAGGCCCTGGGGAAGAATTTTTTTCTAGTGTGGCAGTCAATGTGTTCACTGTTGGTGTCCTTGGCCCATTTTCTAGTGTTGATTTTTTTTTTTTTGCTTTTATTTCTAGGAACTTTTGATATAATAGATCAGCCAAAATATAGGCTACACATTTAATACAACAGAGTTTGTCATGAAGCATTAGGAGATAAGACACTTCCACCATTATTGTCAAACATAACTAGTCTATCCAGGAAAGATTAAAAAATGTGCCCAGGTCCAAGCAAATGAATGATCTAGAACCCAAGTTGCCTGACACAGACAAGCATAGTAATGTCTTGATCAGCCAGAAGTCAGACTTTGAACTCAAATTTCCACAATACTCCAGCCTGAAAGTAGCTGTAAATGGCCTCAGAGGAGATATAGCTCAAATAGCTCATGGCCTAAAAAGCCACTGCACTTCACAGTTGCTACACAGATCCTGGGCTCTCACACAGAGCCTTAAGAATTATATTAGCAAACAGCACCTATGTGGCTTCCCAGTTCAAAGCAAATCAGAACTGAAACAGCCAAGTGAATGCAGTAAGGATATTCTAGCTAGAGTTAGACTGCCAGACAGGAGACCTGGAGGGAAGAAACCATGAAAGCAAGGCAATGACACAAAGTTAGCAAAGCACACAGCCAACTGGGGCCACTGGGAACAAAGAATCTTAAAAACACCTGCCAAGGTAATGACTGCAGGAGAGGATGCTATATTCAGTGACACCTGTTAGGAGTGATTCAGAGTCACAGGATTATCTAGCCTTTAAATTGGAAGGGATCCAGTTCTTTCTAACACTCCATTTAGGATTCTTCTTCAGAGTAGCTGTGGTTAACTCTGGCCCTCTGTTTGAACAGTTCTACAAAAGAAACCTCAACATCAAAATACTCTAGATAAAGAGAACGGCAACTGTTTGTTGAGTACCTGCTATATGTCAGGCATTGGGCTTAATACTTTATACCCATTTCCTTATTTATTCTTCCTATAAAGTAGGTATTGTCCACATTTTTCAGATGTGGTTCCTGAAGTTCAAAGATGTTAAGTAACTTGTCCAAGATCACAAGATCAAAGAAGCAGCCCTGACATCTGGGAGCTGGCCTGGTACTGTCGGCTAGGCCCCAGCGTTGCTGAACATGAACAATTCACATAGCATCACCATTTGGCAAGGCCCTCCGTGATCATGATGCATCAAGACAAAAACAAGCCCACTCTGTGATCATGTCTGAACACAGACTAAGCATGAACATTTTCAACTCCCCCACCAAAGTGACCAAATACCACCCCCTTTTCAATCCTAATGAGTGACTGCTGCTTCTTGACCAATCACAGCTTTAGCCCCTCTCTGGCCTTCTCTCCTTTTAGATAAGATTTATGAAAAATGTCAATCATAGAATTTCCTCCACTTTCTGACAGCATCCAATCCAGAGCAAAGCCACCTTCCTAAAACCCTTCACCACCCCCAGATTGCCTACTCCAAGCCCAAATCCTCTAAGTCCTTTCTAACACCCCCTTACTGAGGCATCTCAAGTTTCCCTGTGGTCTCCCTGGCTGCAAAGAGCAACAGACTCAACTTGCTCAACTCTGGGCCTGTTCCTGGTGGTCTTTAGAGGGTAGTAACGTCACACAGAGAATCAGTGCTGAGCCAAGATTACATCCAAGGTCTATTTGACGCCAAATCCTGTGCCCTCAACCACCCTGCTCTGCTGACTCCCTCTTCAGCTTCTGTCTTTTTTAATTTGGGCAACACAGGATTCGTTTTGTAAAGGAAGAAAGTGTGCTTGAAAGGGTAAACTTCAGTTATGGTGGGAACAAAAATCATTGCTCACTATCTGGGTAAATGAGACAGTGCTGTACTTGCCTAACTTGTCTCATGGTTAACAAATTCAGCACAACTGAATTATTTTTGGTTTTCTAAATAACAAAGTGAAACTACGTCTATTAAACTAAAACAGATGTGTCATCTTTTTACATAATATCTTCCGATGCTTACAGCCCAGTACCTGAACTCGTTTTTTAATGGAAGTACAGTATCAAGATATTCTATTATTTCTTTCTGAAATAAAAATCGGATGTAAAGTACACAAATGATGGCCACAAGACAGGCAAGAGGTTGAAAAGAGCCAAGGTGAGGTATGAAGGCTTTTAGGAGGCGGAGTGGGTAACAGTCTGAGAATAGGGAAGACGCTTTGAGTGCCTTGGGAGGGCAAAAAGAGCGAAGAGAAAAGCAGTTCTGGAAAATGTGGAGCTTCCTCTTAAGGCAGGGGAGCTACGGGACAGTGGCTGGGGAGTCCGGGCCTCTCTCCCAGATCTGTGGGCGCAACTTGTCCCCGCTTTCCATTAGAAGAGCCTGTCTGTTGTGGATTTTGAAGATGCTTAATTTTCACTCCTCGGCGTCTTCTCCAACCCCACAGCACTTCTTTCATTTCACTTGGACTCGGCCGTCGGTCTGGCCATCTGCCCGCCTGTTGAGGGCAGCGATCCCAAGACGGCCGCCCCTTTCACTACCCCATTCCCCATTTGGGGCAGAGGAGCGGCTGGATGGCGTGTTTACAACCTGCGCTTTTCCACGCGCTGCCCGCTAGTCCTTCCTTCCCAGGTGCAGACGGGACCGCCAGGGGTCCTCCTGTCCAGGCCAAAGGACGCCCCACGGGCTGCCGTTGGGTCATCCCAGTCCGGCCCGCCACGGCGAGGGGGCTTGGCCTCGTCCCCAAGCTCGGGGCCACAGTACCTCGGACCAAGGCCGTCCGGTGCGGGGACTGAACTCCAGGCCTGCTCGGGCCTTTCTCCCGCACACACGCCCCCAAGCCAGGAGAGCCTCGGCGACGCCCGGAGGAGAAACCGGGAGACAAAGGATGAATGAGTGGGGAGGGGGCGGGGAGGGGGGCAGGGAAGGAAGGTGCCAGCTGCGCCTGCAACAGCCAGGAGAGGAAATGGCAGCGGGCGAGGGAGCGAGGTCGGGGACGGGGAGCGCGCGTGCAGGAGTGGCGGGGAGATGGGTCACCGGACTGGGGCCGGGTATGGGGAGGGCGAGGGGCGCGACGGGGCAGCCAATCGACTCGTCTCCCTTAGGAAGGAGAGCGGGGAGGGGTGTCCCAGCGAGAAAGCGCCGCGCCGCCTCCGCTCCCCTCGGCGCGGGACACCGGACGGAAAACAGAGGAGCGGGAGCGGAGCCTGGAGCTCGCGCCCGCCGCGCACTTACCCGCGCGCCTCCCTCGGCCCGGCTGTCGCGCGCTCGCGCCCTGCGCCCGCGGGGTCCAGGGTCGGCGGAGCCGGGCGGGCGCTCGGACGGGGAGGAGGGAGAAGGGAGAAGGGCGGGCCCGCTGGGACCTTTGCTCCGTCCCCGCCCCCTGCAGCCGCGGGACTGGCGGCGGGAGGCTGCGGGAGGGGCTCGCCCGGCGGTGGCTGCGGCCCGAGACGCCCGCAAGGCCCAGAGGGAGCAGGTTGCCTTCCTTCGTGCGACTCCCCCGGAGCCCTGTCGCTCGCGGCCCAGGCCTTGGCTTCGGCCAAAGTCCTCGCACACTTCTCAGGACCCAAGTCGGGGGGGCGCACCGGGGAGATGTCGGGCCCGCCCTCCACACCGGCCTCCCCTCCTGCTGTCCGGCACGCACCCGGGGTCTGAGGGGTGCGCCCCGCCACCAACGGTGGGGCCTGGACTGGCGCTGTGGCTTCGCGGTTCAACCAGGAAAGTCTCAGGCCTCTCTGGCCTGTGGGAGCCTCAAATGCCTGTGCCTGGGAGTATCCAGAATTGTGGCGTGACTGTGCCCACAGTTAGCCCTGACACTAGTTAATAATCCATGTAAACCGCACTCTAAGCCCCTTGAGGGCAGAACCACGCGTCTTTCATAGATGCTCTAAGTAGCGGAGGAGGGAATCTGAGCATAGCTGGAGCTCAAAAATTGCTTGCTGATTGTTGGACTTGAATATTAGAATCTTCCAGTTAGTATTTGTAGATCATCTCTGTGCAATGCTGTCTACTGGGCTGAGAGCAATGAACAAGAGAAAATGAAATTTCTACACTATGAAAACTTACACCCAGAGAGTGTGCAGTTTCCTGGCTGCCTTCAAGTGGGGTGGAGAGGGCGGGTAGAAAGGCCTGGCAGGGCTTTCCCTTGGGCCTCCATAGGCTTTGCACGCATCTCTAGATTGCAGTTACCACCTCATTGTAGAGTCTTCCCTGACCACCCAAAGTAAACATGCCCACCCACTCTCCGGAATGCTCCCTGGTTCTTCCCTGCTTTGTTTTCTCCTTTGCACTTATCACCATCTGATAGACTACGTGCAGGATACTTAGTTCGTATGTTATCCTTCTCTTCCCTAAAATGCTCCATGAGGGCGGCAACTTCTGTTTTGCTCACTATACCCAGCACCTAGCTTAGTCCTTGATACGTGGTAGATATTCAGTAACTATTAACAATTGTTGAATTAAGGAACGAACCCTCTAGTTTGTTTCTCCAACTAGAGTGGGGGGTCTTATGCATCTTGGCAGTGGCTGGCACAAAGTAGGTGCACCATTAATGATTGTTGGCTGAATGAGAGGATAGAAATGGTCCAGAGTGGTGGTGCCCTTTGGTCGGTCTCCTGACTTACCAGTGTGATTAGGTGTTGGCAGAAAGAAAGAATCACTGTCCCAGCCCTGTCAAGAGACTTCATCTATGCCATTGGTTCTCTGACTTCATCAAATCATATGGTGACGACTCCGGCTTGTTACCAGAGATGATTGCCTCCTGCTCATGAAGTCCCCACGCCAAAAGCCCCCAGTTCTCTATCTAGATCGGTTATCCCTTGTAATTAAGAGTGTGTGAGCTTTTTGGTGCAACAGTTAGTGGCTTCAAATTCTTTCACTCTTTTTTGTTCTGCTGAGTGCCTTTTAATTAAATTCCTGAGGATGATAGTAATAAAATCAGCTGCTAATATTTATGTAGCACTGTCTACTGCCACCAAGCATGGCTCTGAGTACATTACATGCCACGATTGATTTAATCCTCACAACCAGTTGGGAGTTCAAGTTACAATTGAGGGCACTGAGGGGCGAACTGGGGTGCTCGCTCAGCTGGGAAAAGACAGAGCCACTATTTTAACCCCAGTCATTAGGCTCCATCTGAGTTTTAACTCATGAAGGGGGTACAGATTCTCCAGAACAGAAAACAGGAAGCACAGCAGGGGGTCATCCTACCCCAAACAGTGTTTGAATGGCTTGTGTGTTGAAAGAGAGGGACAGCTTGTGTTTAAGCAGATCTCCCCCACCCACCCAGCTCCTCCCCCTGTCCAATGTTAAGGGGATAAAGAAAATGCTGGTACAGCCATAACTTTTTTTTTATAGTTGTGCTTATTATTATTATTATTAATTAGAGAATTTGAAGATGGCCCAATATAAGATGGGAACTTTTAGCCCAACAAGGAAAAAAAGTGAATAAAAAAGAAAACATCAAACTCCAATCTTCTCACTCCATTATAGCTATCTTTCCCTTTAGAAAAACAATGGAGCTATGTAGAAACAATTTCACAGGCGATAAATTGAGGTAGTCATAATGATGGCAAGTATTTGCTTTTAAAAAAGATTATATTAATATGAACTATGTTTCAAGTTACAGAACTTCTGAAACATGTCTATGTGTGATGTGTGATTCCTACTCTATCCCCAGATTCTTACTGAGGAAACAATATGTAAAGGGCAGCAAAAATTGATAAAACTCATTAATGGGTTATATTTTATAAATGAACACATTACTAAACCAGCTCTGCATGGCAACCGTTATTACTTTCTAGTTCTTTGGGAGACACTTTTGGAGACCTGGAATCTTTCAGATGAATCGGCCAGATTTGGGTTGAATCCAGCCTACCACTTACCAGCTGAGTGATCTTAGGCAAATTGTATAACTTCCCATTTAAAAATTACTTATAGTGTTGTCATAAGATTATGTAAAGTACTCAGCTAATAGTAGCACTCAATAAAAGTTAGTTTCCTTTTCTCTATTAATTACTTTTCAAAGTTGCCTTTAAATTAAGCCTAAAATTTTTCATGTATGCATAATTTTGTCTTTTACCATATTGACTGCTTCCCAGAGGAACATATAGCTACTTACATAAATTAAAACAAAATTTGGCATACATTGATATATATTTTAAAACTGATTTAATTTACCTCTCTAAATTCCCAAAGTGCTTTTAAAACTGGAGACTGTATTGCCAATACATATTACCAATTATCGCTTTAAAATAAAAAACTTTATGGAGGGTTAATTATGGTCCAAAATTGTCTGTTTCTTTCAGTGTACCAACCATTACCTGTTCAATTGCAAGGCACAGATACAGACAGAAGAATTGAAATTTACTTGGTGGCCAGCAAATGATCAACCAAAATCATCCAAATCAAAAGTCTCAATGCACATATTATTGGACAAATAAAGAAATATGAAGTAATTTTCTGTCCCAATTATCAAATGCTGCATAACAAACTACTCCCAAAGTTTAGTAGCTTGAAATAATAACCACTTTATTACATCTCACAGCTTTGTAGACTGGGATGTTGGACAAAGCTCAGCCGAATGATTTTTCTGATCCATGTGGCATTGACTGGGATCACTCGGTGGAAATTAATTGTTGAAGGTGAATGGCCTGGACTGGAGGGTCTAGGATGGCTTCACCCACATCTTTATCCATTTGGGCTACTATAACAGAATACCATAGACTGGATGCCTTATAACCAATAGCCATTTATTTCTCACAGTTGAAGGCTGGAAGTCCAAGATCAAGGCATCAGTAGATTCAGTGTCTGGTGAGAGCCTGTCTCCTGGTTTGCAGAGATGGTAGCTTCTCAACTGTCCTCACATGGTGGAAGGAAGGAACAAACAAATTTCCCAATGACTGTTTTATAAGGCTACTAATCTGATTCATGAGGGTTCTACCCTCATGACCTAATCACCTCTCAAAGGCCCCCACCTCCTAATGCCATCACATTGGTGATTAAGTCTGAACATATGAATTTAGGGGAACACAAGTATTCAGACCATAGCATCTCATGTCTTGGACCTTGGCAGGGATAACTTGAAGGTAGGGCTCAACCTAGGAGTTATCAACCAGATAACTCTTCATCACGATGGGTTTTCAGAAGTCAGATTTCTTATAAGGAGGCTCAGAGCTCCAGAGGCAAGTGTTCCAAGAATAAGGCAAAACTGAGTAGCACCTAAGTGGACACATAGGTACTACAGTAATAGGGTATTGGGCAGGTGGGAGGGGGGAGGGGGGTGGGTATATACATACATAATGAGTGAGATGTGCACCATCTAGGGGATGGTCATGATGGAGACTCAGACTTTTGGGGGGAGGGGGGGAAATGGGCATTTATTGAAACCTTAAAATCTGTACCCCCATAATATGCCGAAATAAAAAAAAAAAAAAAGAAATAAGGCAAGAGCCACAAGTCTTAGGACTTAGGCTTTAAAGACCCAGAATGTAACTTCCAAAACATTCTACTGTTGAAGCATGCCCAGATTCAAAGACAAATTATACTGTATTCTCATGGGGAGAAACAGCAAAGGATTTCCAGATGCCTTCAATCTACCACACTTGTTTTAATGAAAGAGAATGATATTACATAAACAAAGTTAGTAAAAACACCTATGTTTTGTGTTCATTGTTCATGTAAAATATCATTGTCAGCACTAAGGATATTTATAATGAAGACCAGTAGTCATCCACCAGATGTCCAATTCACAGAAATATCAACAGTAAACAAAAAGAACAAATCAGGAGGCATCATTTTAGCAGACTTCAAGCTATACGACAAGACTATCATAACCAAAACACCATGTTACTGGCACAAACACAGACACAGACCAATGGATCAAAACAGAGAACCCAAATATAAAACCACTCTCTTATTGCCATATGATCTTTCCCAAACCAGACAAAAACATACAATGGGGGAAATAATCCCTATTCAATAAATGGTGCTGGAAAAATTGGATAGCCACATGTAGAAGACTGAAACAGGATCCACACCTCTCACCACTCACAAAAATTAATTCAGGATGGATAACAGACTTACGGCATGAAACTATAAGAATTCTAGAAGAAGAGGTTGGAAAAACTCTTATAGATATCAGCCTAGGCAAAGAATTTATGAAGAAGATCCCAAAGGCAATCAAAGCAATAACAAAAATTAATAAATGGGACCTGATCAAATTAAAAAGCTTCTGCACAGCCTAGGAAACAATCAATAGAGTGAATAAACAAGCTACAGTATGGGAGAAAATATTTGCATGCTATTCCTCTGATAAAGACCTCATAACCAGAATCTACAAAGAACTCAAAGAAGATCAGGGAGA